CATCCAGAGCNCACTGCACATCAGAGAAGCCACTTCTCATCATTTCAATCACTGCCAAGTAACCACCTGGCCCACGAAGAGGTTCTGAACGACCAGGAACAACAAATGAAGCATTTTCAGAGATGACTTGGTTGGCCAGGTCTGTACTGCAGGTGTTTATTAGAGAAAGAAACTTGTCCATTACTTGTTTGATAGGAGTCATTTTGTTTTTTTGAAAATAAGGTCAACAAACTTTTTATTTGTGAGAAGACTGACAGTCTTGCCACATACTATGTTTTTGAACACTTTAGTGCGGATGTAATAATTTGGCTTCCCAAGTCCGCGACGCAGACTTCCTGATCGACTATCAATTGGCCATAATATTACTATTGCATTTATCAGTGTACAAAATCATATGCATTGTAAGGATTTCATTTCCTGCAAGAACATTTGTTTTTTAAGGACCGACATTCAATTAAGTATTGAATTTTGGTATGGACATTTTTGAGTTGGTTTCAATCTTTGATTCAGAGGAATAAAATTATTCAATAACCTACGCTTTCACTTTAGGAAACCTATTCATCAAGGACTTGTAATTTCTTATAATTAATGTGTAGGGGTCCTTTAACAACTTGCTTGAATATTAATAATGGATCACAAGAATTAACACTCAAACAATTGAGAGGTATTATGGAAAGGATTCCACTACTTTCGCAGTAACGCTTCTGACATATTCAAATAATGAAGAATTAAATTCCAAACAAGTGATGTGAAATCATTCCAAGAATCAGTATAGTAAGGAAGAAATGTTGTGCTTGTTTTTGAAATAAATAATATATTTGGTGAAGGTTTGTGAAACAAGTCAGAAAACCAGCGGTGCACCGTAGTAACCTTGTGTTTCAAATATTATTATTTATAATCAACCAAAAAAAATGGAAAGAGAAGTTTTTCAAGATGATATTATTTATGAAATTGTATCATTCTATGGTGATTTTAAATTTCTTGTCATGAATTGTGCATTAGTTTCTAAACAATGGTACAATGTCATTCTATCAACATGTCATAATATGACTGTTAAATGTCATTCCAATGATGTAAATGGTCAATTTTTACAAAATATTGCAAATCTTGAGATTAAAGTACTATCAAATATTTACAAAAAATTAATATTGATGAAATCATTAACTAGTCTTTGTATTCCTTACGTTGTTGGAGTTAAAATTGATTCCGAATCAGTTACATATATTGGTCAATTGAAACAATTGACTAGTCTTGAAATTCAAGGAATGGATATTGATGATGAACATGTTGAAAGCATGGCTGAATTGAAACAATTAACAAGTCTTTACATTTCTGGTAATTATATTGGTTCCGAAGGAGTTAAAATTATCAGTGAATCATTTAACAAATTAACAAAGCTTAATATTTCTGCTAATTATATTGACAATGTAGGCGCTAAATATATCAGTCAATTGAAACAATTAACAAGTCTTGAAATTGCCTGCAATGATAGTATTGGTGATGCAGGAATAATATATTTGAGTGGATTGGAACATTTAACAAATCTTGATATTTCTCGTATTAAGATAGGTAGTGGAGGAGCTCAATATATTGGTAAATTTGAGCAGTTGACATGCCTTAATATTAATACATGTAGTATTGACGATGAAGTACTTCAATCAATAAGTCAATTGAAAAAATTGATAGTTCTTCACATTAGCGAAAATGAAATTAGTATTGAGGGAGCTAAATATATTAGCAAATTGAACCAATTGACAAGTCTTTATATCTCTGAAAGTGGTATTAGATTTGAACAAGCTAGGATATATCAGTGAATTGAAACAATTAACATATCTTGATGTTAC